GCTTGAGCGACGGCGGGGGCATTTCGATATGAAGCACTGGTTTCAGCGCGGGGCTGCTGGGTGATAGCGCGCTCTGGAAGGTCATGAGCTGGTCCATCTGGCCGAAGAGGGCGGCTGCGGCTTCCGAGTCCTTTTGGGCAGCGCTTTCTACGGTCTCCTCGACGGAGACGGCGACTTCTTCCATTTTAACATCGCTCTGTTGTGTTGGCTCGGCAGACGCGCTGGCAGATCGCTCACGCTCAGCTTCCTGGCTCATGCGACGTTGCTGCAGGAACGAGGCAGTCTGGGTGAACTCGCGCTCGTCCTTTTCTAAAGGCGGCGACTGAGCTCGGCGATTGTGCGAGATGTTTGCAGTCGTGGGAAGATGGCTCTGCTTGGAGAAGGGGTCGCTGTCGTGGCTGTCGTAGTCGGACAGGTCTAGCTCGGGCGACGGTGACATGCGACCTCTTGACCTCGCATCCGCGTCCTCTTCTTCCGAAGTTGCGGACGACAGCGATGGGGTGACGATGCGTGGTGCCATGGCGGTGCTAGTTCCGTCGGCCGGGATAGGCTGATGCGGGCAAGTGGAGAGGAAGTAGTAGACACGCTTGGGGTGGGTACCAACGAGTTTCTTGTCGAGGGGACATCTCGACAGGGCTGTCCAATTGCGCTTGAGGTAGGTCGCTAAGCGTGACGAGATAATGGCAGCTGGGTTGGCGGAGCTAGAGTACGTCAGCATGAGTAACTGGTGGTCAGGGCGTGGATGGCTAAAGTTTGGTACGTACCTCTCAACAATGGGAATGATGGGCGATAGAACGAGGGCGAGTTCCTTCAGCAGGTGGGGACGGTTGCCTGTCTTCTGGAGCTGTTCGATAACGCCGACCACGATTTCGTCGTCGATGCCCTGGGTATCGATCTTGGTCGTGCCGGACTCGCCGCCTGGCGACGGTGGCGGGGTGTCTGCCACCCGGCCTGAGCTTTTGGGTCGCAGCTCATCGAGGCGCAGTGCGGCGGGGCGTGATGGCGAGGGGAGTGCCGATGAGAGAGAGCCGGAATGGGAGCGTTTCTGTTTCTTTGCAGCGTGCTGGCCGTCGCTTGTCGAAGGCGGTGAGCGCGCGGATCGCGGTCCTCCTGGCAGCTGGATGCCGAGCGACGGCAGCGACAGCGACTTCCGGCGTGTGTTGTAGGGCATTTTGGGAGCGGCGATGCAGTCGCAAACGTCGCGCAGGGAGAGAGGAAGGAAGGAGGGAGGCTTCCGGGGGACAAGATAATTATTGAGGCTGGCAGAGGGTGTGCAGCCAAAAGTGTTTTGTTACTGCGCGAATGCCAGGGTCGTCGATTGGTCCGGTGGGAATGCAATGCAGCCTATACCACCAACGCTGCCGCCGAGATGCAGGTAGCGTGCGCTTCTGTCTGCACTGCAGGCTTTGGCGTCGAAAAGAGCGCCTGATTATTGCGAGAGATGTCTGGCGGTGTTGAATGCTGAGTGGCACCCGTCCTGTCGCAGCTACGCGGCTCGCCTCCTGAAGAGTGAATACGTAACTCGGCGATGGCGCCCGGTTGCCTTGAGCTCGAACCAACAACTTATGGCAACACAATCAAGTGCTGCGCCAACACCACGGGAATCAGGAAGCAGAAACAGAGAGAGGCAAGGGGAAACGGAATGGGACAGGACAGTTGATGTCGGGCCCTGATGTAGTTCGAGGGGTGGTGAAGGAAGAGGGGATGCGACGAGGGAAAGAACGGAGGCGTAGTGGAGCACACAGTGAAGAAGGAGCGACTAGGCTCCGGTAAGAGACCGTGCGTCTAGTAGGGTGAATGTATCCAGGGATCGCCTCTTTGGTTATGACAGCATACTACTTTTAGAGCCCGTTTTTGCTTTGTTGGCCAGGGGCTAGAGCCTAACGCTCCTATCAACATGCCGTTGCCTGCCTGCATGTACCACACGGTAGAGTCCTCTAACGTAGGTACTTACTCGCCGCACACTTCTAGGCACAACCTTCCGGCAGCCTGTCCAACGTCTTGTATGGCCTTCGTTGTCCTGACCAATCCCGTCTATCTGGGCCGTCTGTGTTGCACCTCTGCCCGTGTCAAGCTTCGGGCATCAGATGGTCTCAGCTGAGCCCGGAGCAGTGAACACCGCACTTGGATCTCTCTACATCTTGCTCCGAGCGCGCAATAAGTGGCACATGCTAGACGGAGCTGGTAAGGATGCTTCCTTGCCGACAAACCTCCGCCAACGATTACGAACGTCTACTGCCCTGAGACGGCTTTCCCGCAAGTGATCTCATGCTCAACACGTCTGGTTCGAGCATCGCGCATCCTTCCCACCTGCAATTGGGCGGGTCATCACAGCTGTCCCGCACGCTGACCGCTATAATATCTTCCGCGTCTCCAAGCACTCAAACGGCCACGATGCGAGTGGACGGGCGCTGGCCATGATCTGATGCAGCGTGCATATCATCTTGTTCCAGAGCGGAGACATCCCTGTTCTGAGGTTTCGCCTAGCCGTCAAAGTGGATTTAGCCTCAACGCTGCAACCAGGATGCCCCAGGGCGGTGAGCACACTTTTCTCGAATTTTTCTTTAACGGAAGTTTTCCTACTGGCATGCGGCCAACCCTCGGCAACGTTAATACGCGAACGACAAAAACCGTTCTCAGCACATGTGGCTTGATTGCTGCTTGTTCATTGATAACTCATCGATAACGAGCGGCATTGATGCCCGGAAAAAGCACAGTGATGATGGATGCCGAGCTGGATCTTCTGGCACATCAGTTTCATCAGCCTCCACTCCGCATTGCGACCACACCCCCAAACATTGCGCACGCGAGTTGCCATCACTTCCGATGGCTGCGCAGGGATTGTGCATATGTCTTTACCCAATGGAGACAGGCGCATGGAACCAGGTCCGGTCTGCATGCGCAGCACAGCGTCACCTTTTGTGGGGAACTGGAAGGTATGGCGCCGCACTTGTCCTGTGGGCAGACAGATTCACGGATGCGCTACGTATCTTCCCCAGACGAAGTGTGGACTGCATGAGGAAGTTGGCAAGTCGTGAAAGACGGTGAAGATGCATTGTTTGTTTGCTTGTTCCCACACGCAACCTCGTCGACACTGATAAAGATGCATGTCAGCCATGGACGTGTCGTTGGGTGTGCTCGGCATGATGATTACGAGGTGCAAGCCCATCGTGCTCAACGGTATGGCATCAGACCCCAGACGCACATGCAAACGCATGGCGTGCCCGGATGATAAGACAGAACAAAGTTCGGGCGAGCCATGTCGCGTTCCAGTCTGCCGTGACGCGATTGTGCTTTGCCCATGATCCCGACCGCAGATCTCGCTTGACCTTCTGTTGGATCCCAGGTTATCGATGGTCGCGATCTGGAAATTGCCGCTTTGGGCCTTCCCCTCCTTCTGCCATAACGCGTAAAGTTGACGTCGTTTGAGACAGAACTAAGCTGCCTGATGGAGCGCAACAGCTGGATAGCAAGCTTGGAGTAAATTTAGGCGCACTGCCTATAATAGCGGCAAAGCTGCAACATTTCGATCATTCTCGATCATGGTGAATGTGGGGAAGGTGACACGGCGACTTATCATCTCCACAGTGACCACCAGGACTTTTGTGTTACCGGGGATCCGGCTTGTGCAGCAAGCGGCTGCTCGACTGCGGTGGTCTCGGTCAATCTTTGCCGCATGCCCTTTCTGGGCCTCAACTGTAACCACCACGTCGTGCCGAAGTTGTAGCGCTTTATGTTGACAACTTCCAGCCCGCTCTCTTCGACAATCTTGCCGATATCTTTGTTCCACCAGCAACCATGTTCGTCCGCATGGGCTGGAGCTGATTTGTCCAGTATGTTGTTGAGCCACTCGTAATGCGACTTGCCGTGCTCTAGAAGCAAGATCTGTCCATTCTCATTGGTGCATGACTCGAGATTCTGGAGCAGCTTCACGGGCTCGGGCGTGGAGCAGAGTCCCATTGTCTGTATCACCGTATCGTAGCCAACCTGGGCATCAAATGGGGGCGTAATCGGATCTAAGGCAGATTGCTGCTTGAAGAAGACACGGCTAAAGTACTCTTTGTGCGTGTCGTTCCACTTCCGCCTTGCAACAGCCAGCATGGGCCCGCTCGAGTCGAGCAGCGTCACTGTCGCACATTGCTTGGTCTTGTAGTATGGTATGTTCCTGCCCGTACCAACGGCCACCTCTAGCACATGTCCCTTGGCCATGGCAGTGAGCTTCTTGCGCTTAGAAGTCAATAAGAGCAGCATCTCAGATGTGTCCACTTTCTCGTCATAGCCCTCAGCCTCTTTGTCGAATCGATCAGACAGGTCTTCAGGTAAGTTTCCCAGGTCCGTTTCCTGCGTCAACGAAGCGTAGAGCATGGTTCCGTATGTCCCCAATCCAAATGCGATCAATCCGATACCGAACATTGGCCATTGTCTCGCTCTCCGCAGTTTTGCCTGGTGCTGCGCCGACTTCAGTTCCTCTTCTGATAGTCGTTGTAGATCGGAGAGCCGTGGACGTGCCGCCAGCACTCTCTTCAGTGCTTGTTCGGGTGTTTGGTTCCTTGGAGCATATAGCGGTACTTCGTTATCGTGTTGCGCTCGTTGTATTCGTATGTGTTGTGGTATCGCGGGCTTCGACGGTATCGTGTGCTTTACAGGGAACGCCTTCGGGGGCTTCGGTAACTTCGCCATTGCGATGCAGGCAGACCCAAGAGAATTCAGCAGCGGATGACGTTGAGGTGCAATTGGTGAGGCTGTCGATGTCGAATTGAAGCCTCAAATCTTTCCATGCACCGATGACCCAATCTCTCGGTAGCGTCAAAGCTCCCTGCAGCCACGAGGTTCAACCGTGCCCAGCCGGCGCACGCCCTTCAAATCATCAGTCAGTCAACGATATCGGCCCACCAGCGGCACTTGCACGCCGTTCGGACGCAGGTAGGTGGACTTTTCTCCATGCCTTTCCTTCCTTTTGCTCAGTTGCTATACGTTCAAACATCTTAATCTCGCGCGCAATGGCTTCTTCTGCATCTCTTGAGAGACCCTCATCCATCCTAATCGTCGGCAGCGGTGCATTTGGACTTTCCACAGCTTATTCGTTATGTCAAAACCCGCAGTACAAGGATACCTCAATTACTGTTGTAGACCGTCAGCCCTTCCCTACGCCTGATGGCTCGAGTGTAAGTAGAGCAATTCAATCTAAATTTTCTTGACGCCATACCCTGGAGCAGTAAATCCCTAGTGATCGGAACAACCGCTTCATTCAAGACCAGACACTCAAACAAACGCATACAGATCGATGCCTCACGAATCATCCGTCCCGACTACGCTGCCGCGCGCTATACCCGTCTGGCGACCGTCGCACAAAATCGCTGGCGCACCGACTTCGCGACCGAACACTACCATGAGGTCGGCTTATGTGTAACCGCATGGGGCCCAGAGCAGAAATACGTCTCCAGCTCGCTCGAAAACGTTCGCGCGATAGGGACAGACAAAGTGGAAGTGCTCAATTCGGCGGAAGACATACAGAAAGCATGTGGTCTGGAAGGCAAAGACCCCTGGGGTAATGGCTGCACCGGATACGTGAACTGGAGTTCAGGCTGGGCAGACGCAGAGGGCGCGATGATGTGGCTCAGGGAAAGGGTGGAGAAGCTGGGGAGGGTGAAGTTTGTCACAAAGGGTGTGAAGAAGCTGTTGATCGATCACAAGACCAACACTGTCTCCGGTGTGAGGCTCGACGACTCGACCGAACTGAATGCGGACCTTACAATGCTGGCGGCAGGCGCATGGACGGCATCGCTCATCGATCTCCGTGGCATCTGCAAAGCCACCGGGCAGGCGCTGTGCTACATGCCCATCTCCAAGGAGGAGGAAACGAAGATGGCCCCGCGACCGACTATCCTGAACCTCTCCCACGGCCTCTTCATGATACCGCCTCACAAGGGCTTGCTCAAAGTAGCGCGCCACGGCCACGGCTACCTCAACCCAACCACAATCCCACACCCCGAGTCCGAAGACCCGAACGAAACAATCACAACCTCGCTTCCCTACACACACGTCGACGACCCATCACAAGCCGTCCCTATAGAAGGCCAGCGCCAATGTCGAGAGTTCCTCACCGCAATGCATCCTTCCCTCGCCGTACCCTCGCGACCGTTCACAAAATCGAAGATCTGCTGGTACACTGATACAAGGGATGGCGACTTCTTGATCTCGTATCATCCGAATTACAAGGGGCTTTTTGTGGCGACGGGCGGTTCAGGACATGGCTTCAAGTTCTTGCCGGTTATCGGTGATAGCATTGTGGAGTGTATAGAAGGGAGGACACCGGAAGACTTCAAGGGCCGCTGGGAGTGGCCTGCTGAACGTATACCCGAGGAGCAGTGGGCTGGTGATGGAAGTCGCGGTGGACCTGTTGGGATGATTCTGGAGGAGGAGATGGCAAAGAGTCGGGGGAAATTGTAGGTGGTGATGATCTTCATCGCACCTCTACCCACTGTGGTGGATTATCGCACGTGCCTTCCTGGGCATATAAATACTTACAACTTGCCTTTCGACACTCTTATTCTTATCTACAATCCTTCCTCCGTTTTCCAAAAAAAGACAGAGCCGATTACATGTGTGGAGAGTACGTTTCTCTTCCAAAAAATCAAGATCATGTATGCCGGATGGAAACTCCAATCCATCAGTTCTACTTCGGAAAATATGGTCTTTATTACTCATGTTCCGCTCGCTGGCATTTGCAACCTAATCCAAAACGCCATAAGCTTCATGCATGATTCTTTCATCCAGAAAGCGGACATCGATCACGCAATCCTTCCGCCTGTTTTCACCAAATCGTACTCCCAGCAAAACGATGGTGGCTAGAAGACTTACAACGAGTCAGACATCTGTGATGCTGCCTCTGCAACAAGCGATGTTCTCTGGCGTCTTCATGTCTGTATAAATATCTACCGCTCATACTTGGTACATACTTCCTGTACTCAACCTTTGCTCTCTATTTGCCGAAACAAAAAATGAAGGCGGGCATGTCTGGAGCGTTCTTCCGCGTCTCTCAAAGACTACTAGCTTGGTTTGGATGCGGTCACTCCGAGCATGCGTGCTGTTGTCGAAAACGACAGTGTACCATCAGATGTCTTTCTCCTCGGACAAGCTGCGAACCTTTTTCAAAAGAGCGTTATGTCGGTTATCTTCTCTATCCGAAATGAAAGATGCACAACATAAATTTCTGCTGCCTGCCGTCGAAAAAGACGCTTCAATGTCCAACATGACTTCCAAAAAGACAAAGTGGTCTGCGCATGATCAAGAATGCTACAGAGGAAAGATTTAGGTCCGTGCAAGTCTGTGTATATTAAAGTCCACCAATTGGGTTCCTCTTGCTTCTCTTCATCACTCCAGCACTTTCAGTCTCTTCCAAAATTTCAACGACGATATAGCATGTTGGTTGCGCGCCTGCCTTTCTAAAAAAAATGTTTTCTTCACTGCCATGTGGTCGCTCCGAGCCATAACTACTGTCACCAAAAGCGTGAAACAACATACCAATGTCTTCGTCCCCGAGCGAGATGGGAATCAACCTAAAACCAAGTACTTCAAGTCAGCAATCCTCTCTACACGCGATGATCACATCCCGTGCAACTCTTCCTGTGCATATAAATATCTGCGACCCGTACTTCTTCTTCTCTCCTCCATTCCAAAAACCTTTCGTTCTTCTCCGAAAAGTCACGCATTCGTCATGTATGTCGCTGGCGCCTTCTGTGGTCCTGAAATTCCAGTACATGCACCGCATGTGGACGCCCCGAGCTATACCTACTACTATCAAAACTACAGTGCAAGAGTCAGATGTCTTCGTTCTCGGAGAGAATTGCGACCCAACTCAAAAACGAGCACTTCAAACAAATGGTCTATTCTCCGTGTGAGTGTCACATCCCGCAGGTGGATCTTGATCTTCCTGTAATACCTAAGACTTGTCCTCCTACTTCTCTTCTTCAACACAACAACTACCCTTCTTTCTCCAAAATCGCCTTATTTACGACTAATGTCGCTGGCGTCTTCTGTCCTCCTCAAAACTATGTCAACATCAAGTTATGTGGGCACTCTCATCTCCATCTTCTTCTATCCACTCAAATAAACACCGCGACACTAGATGTCTTCGTTCTCAGTTGAACTGGAGCTTAATTCAAAGTCGCAAACATGATCTCAATGTGTCGACTGAGTTCGCTGTTCAAAAACAAAGGCACACTCTCACATGTTCTTTGCCCGGTGTCACCAAAATCCCAACAGGCTACTAAAACTTAATTAAAATATAAATGCTGGACTTCAATGATCAGAGCTGCGTTAAAAGAAGTGTGTTACAACATTCACAAGTGTCTTGCAGCGTGTGGTGGCGTCTGTTATGCCCTTTCACCGAAACCTCCAAAAATGGTCCAAAAATCACCAAAAAAGAATACCTGGGGTATCTGACTATAGCCAGACGAATGCTGAACAGAGTGGGACTCGAACCCACGCCACTTTCGTGACCAGGAAGTAATGTTAAGAGTAACCTTAACCTGGCGCCATAACCAGCTCTGTGAATTTTGTCAGATTTTGGTCAGGAAGACAAAGGAGTGTTGTTGAGCTTACCGGCCATCTGTCCGTTGGTATCTGATTGGTTGATGGAGGATGTGAGAATTATAACGTTTCTAATGCTATTTAGTGGTTGGTGTTGGTGTTGATAGTGGAGTTGGTGCGGTGAGAATTTTCGGGCGGGGTGTGGGCCGCGGAGGAACTTGGAAGCTAAGGCGACGGCGACGGCGGGATTGTGGGGACGGGATGAACGTTGAGACAGTCTCAGACCTGCAATCGGTTAGTGATAATTGGAAAGGTTGCTTGCGGGATAGCATCGTGGTGCTGGTGGACTTCTTCTCTAGACTGAACTTTGTTAGTGCATCGAGGGAACACAACATCAATCTTCACATTTTGAGCAGAAGGCAAGCGATTTCTTTGTAATAAATATTTATTGAGACCCTGTATGTGTACATAGTAAAGTGCAGCATGTGAATTGGTATCTGCGAGCGCAAGCCAAGTTGAGGGTGTTGAGGCTGTCCGTAATAGAGCGGACAGGTGTCGAAAAATGAGAACGATCTCGCTGAAGACAATGCGACACGCGAATACAGGATTGTAACAGAAGGTAGCAATCGCAGCATGTCCGCAAGAGAAACACCCGCCTTCGAAAACAGGCTACAAGTCGTGAACTCGATTAGTTCCAAAGAAAGTAACGGCTTCGACAAAGCGTGACTGGTCATGTGTGCTTCTTGTTGAAGTGCTTGAGCATGTTATCCTTCCTTGGATAAGATTTCTTGCAGCCAGCCTCGGCGCATCGAAAGCGAAATCGGGACCCAGCTAACTCATGACTTTGACGGTGTCGCTCCAGATCTGCGCGCAAACCGAAGGCGCTAGAGCATCCTGGATGATTACAGCCGTGTCGCTTTTCGTGTTTACGGCGTATGTGATTGCTGCAAAAGAGATGATTAGCTTTCTAGCCACATTAATCCCAGAGTTGTATCCTTACTTGAGGTCGCATGTACGGTTGAAGATCAGATCGCAGCAGCTATGCTGAACAGATTTATCTTGAGCTTCACTTCTCTTTCGGGACCCATTTAGATCATCTAGAGAAGGGGTCACAGGGTGTGAGAACCGGTCTTGGTCTTGCGAAGACGCGACGAGGTCGACGTTTCGTGTAGGTAACGTGTAGTCGCTCGGGTCGGTGTCGGCAGTACTGCCAGTTGAGGATGATTCCCAAATATCTGTAGTAGGGGTGTTTATTCCATTTGTGGAACTTTTGTGGAAGGGTCTTTCGCTCAGGAGTGGGTTTGAAAGAAAAGTTAGGGTTCGGTCCTCGGAACTGATTCTGGATCGAAGGCCGGAATGAGCTTCTGATAGTTGTTCTAGTTGCGTTCTGAATACTTGTTCTCCCGATTCTGCCAGAAGGTAAAGAACAGAAGAAGTCTGGTAGAGGACGACTTCTGGATTGTCGGCTGATTCCGTGCTTGCGGTCCGCTCGCTCGGAGCTACGCTTGGTGGCAAAAATGGAGCATGAATGACGGGATTGATCTCGTACTCAACTTCATGGGGACAGACAAAAGACGAGGTGTAGGGCCCTGACCGTGGCGCTCGCGTTTGCTCAATCGAATTTGTTGTGATGAAGAAGACGAACGGCGAAGGTTATGAGACCCTTGCCAAACAGTCAGCAGCAGGACATCAGGCCTGGAATCAAAGAGTGAATTGGCGTTTAAACAGTGGGGTGTAAATCCGAGATCATCATCCGGCTAAGCTTTTGGTGACTGCAGTTGCTTAAAGTGTGATAGAGCCGGATGATGGTCGATCGACGTTGAAAAGACCCCCAGCACACGACGCCGGATGGCGTGGTGATAGGGCCTTAAGGGCCTCAACGAACCGAAGGGTGTTCTCAGCTGATGTTGTTTCCCGGCTTTCTTTCGCGCTGGTAGTTAAGGTTGAAGGATGTTAAAGATGTGAGAAGGTTTTAGGAATATAGGTAATTGAGACTTGGTTATGTGTATGAGATAGTTCTGTCTGAAATACAGATCGTAATGCTAGGGAACCGTAGGAAAAGGTTGATTTATACCCAAGCGTGGAAATCTGGAGGCGTACCATGCCTTCGGCTAAACTGCTAAGCGACAGGGTTGTGGCAGTGATCAGCCACGATAAAGTCGCAGCGCTCGTCGCGCATGTACACATTGCATAGCCCGGCCAAAAAGCATTGTCAGAGGAGGATCAGCCTGACTGTATGCCTCCATTTACGTGGCGTGGAAGTAGAGAGGAGGACGCAGGCTGAGCGGCACGGATATCGGACTGTCTGTGCTTTCGCAGCCCTTGTCCGCTTCGAGCCTGATATTCGCGGGCAAGAAACAGCTGCTCGCGCGCACGCACGCGTCTCCACTCATGTCCTATCTATCGTCAGCCACACTATCTTTCCACTGCGCCTATTGGGGCAAACCATCTGCAATGATGGTAGCACCGCCGAAAACGTCACCTGCCCATCGTGTACCGGTATGCCACAAGGCTGGGACGCACAGCAGCCGATACGCCCACACGGAAGTCTTCATTGACACAGATATTCACGATAAACGTTCTCATTATTGATTATGTCGACTAGATCATTACCACAACGCTCTACTTCCTCGCAGCGCCGGTACCCTCTGGCCAGAACTCTTCCAGCCACTCATACGGGTTCTCAGGGACGTACTGGTTCAAGATCTCACCCTCAAAGTCGGTAAGGTGGTCGCGTGTCAAGTTGTACAGCGCGTACTTCTCATCTGGACCTGTTCCAACAGTGTATGGGACGGTCTGAACGTTGTTTCCGATCTCCTTGTCGACCCAGCGCTCGACGTCTACAACCTGCGCGTTCTTGATGCGGTACTCGTCGCCGTAGTTGGGTGAAATCTACCAATGTGTTAGCAAGATGGAAA